TGACTGGGGTAACATCTCTTTGGAGGTTGGCGAATTGGTGCAGAACAGCCCTCATTTATCAATGGGCTCATTCACACAGCAGCCTGGGGTCTCACCTCAGCTGCTGACGCCAGCAGAGGCTCATAGGAAAAGGACTCATAGGAGCCGACCCAATCACAAGAACCCTGTGGCCGTCAGGTGGACCCGAGAGGTTTTTCCTGCTCGTCAATGGGGTCCTATCCCACTGACAAGTTCGAGTGGGATCCATCCTCTTATCCAGCACCCTATTCTACCGATCTATATTTTTGATATTGGAACTATGAGACGTATCTGCCACCCTTTTTGCTGTCACTGCCTCCCCACTCTGCCTGGCACCATTTTGAGCCACAAGCTGAGGAATGCTATGTGCCTCCACCTACACCTCGAAGATATAGTGCTCCCTCAAACTTGGCTCTGGCTGCGGGAGCAAAGCGTCTGCAGGTTCGACTGAACCCACAGTGAACCCATTCAGCCTTCTCCGACCCAGCAGCTGATCTCAAGACTGATCTTGGTCGGGCTCACGCTGAGGAAGACTTCTCCCCAAATTGTCAGGAGGACTTAACCTTGTTCAGATTGGGATTCAAAAGAGTCAGAGGGGGAGGAAGATTTTCCAACCTATCTTCCTTCACCCATGTCAAAGAAGACAGATAAGGTGTTTGAGGACATTGCACAGGACCATTGTTCGTCTTGGATTCATCCCTTACTTTTCTGAATTTATAAGGATGCTTGGGCTAGGCCCTCTATTTCTTATCAAATCTCAAGGAGCGTCAAGATTTTATACCAGTCAACCCTCAACTTACGAACGTCCCTACATATAAACTTTTCAATTTACAAATGGCTCCGTTCGCAAAAATTGGCATCGACTTGCGAACAGAGCCTCGACCTACGAATTCAAATTTCCCACCCTTTCTCCCTGCCTTTTTGCCTTCCAATGTTGGGGGGTAAGCCCGTTGAGACCTCTGAAGGTAATTTTTTGAAATGTTGGAACGGATTTATTCCGTTCCCATGCATTTCAATGGAAAATGGTATTTCAACTTACAAACTTTTTGGCATACGAATGCTGTTCCAATTAAGTTTGTAAGTCGAGGTACCACTGTATAAGCTTTCTGGGACCGATGCTGATTGCCTCTTGAAACACCCTCTTCCGAACTCGTTCGTAGTGGACAGCGTGCAAAGCAGAGCCCGGAATCGTTCTAGTGCTTCTCCCTCCAATAAGGTAGGTCATAAATTGGACATCTTTAGTCAGTGATTTTTTTAAATCTCTGGCCTCCTTTGTCCTTCATGTAGCCAATTACTCCGCTGCCATGGGCGCTTATCATTGCCACTTATGGAATTTGGCACTGCCCATTCTGAAGGCAGCTCCTGAGGACCTTCACAGCCAGGACCTCTCATATCACCAAGAGGCAATGATGCTGGCATGTCACAAGTACATTGCTGCTTGTCATGCCTTGGAAGCAGCATCCAAACAACTGTCCACTGCCATATCTTCGCAGCAGCATGCTTAACTAAGATCTGCCAACATATCAGAAGATGCGAGGGCACAGATCGAGGACCTGCTGTTTGATGGAGTAGGCCTTTTTGATCAGAAAACTAATGATATTCCTGATAATCTGCTCAAGCTCCGGAAAATGGCACAATCGTTTGTGAGCAACAACTTCGCCCAAGGAGAACCAGGAACGTCAAAGGCCCCAACTCCAAGGTTACCAACCGCCATCCCCTAGATGTGGCCAGGCAGCACCCTGGCCAACAAAACCGCAGGGAGGACGGCAAAACCAAGCAATCTCTTTAATGCAACTGACTTCTTGGTCGTTGACCAATCAGTCTGTTTCACCCCTTTTCTTTCCAATTGGTGTTCCTTCACGTCTGATACTTCGGTACTCTCTATCATAGCTACCGGCTGTGCCATTGAATTTGATATACACCCTGTCACAGGCTACTTTAAGGCCACCCCTTCCCCCTTTGGATGATGAAATTCAGGCCCTGTTAGGAAAAGATGCCTTTGTTCCTTTGCACCATCCCCAAGAAGGATGGAGGCCTCCAGCCCATCCTTGACCTTAGAGGCCTGAATTCTTTCATTACTCCAAAAAGATTCCACATGGTTTCCCTGGACTCTGATTCACATGTTACATCCAGGGGATTGCTTTGCTGTGATTGACCTGAAAGATGCTTATTTTCATGATAGCATCTGGTCAAACCATCAACACTTTCTCAGGTTTTCAGTAGGAGGAATCACTGTTTACCCATATTTGGATAACTGGCTCCTGGTCGCTGAGTCCAAATCACAAGCTTGTAAATACACATCCTTGACACTGTCTCTTTTGTCAGCGTTAGGACTGAAGGTCAACATAGAGAAGTTGATTTTGCAACCTTCACAACATGTAGATTATGTTGCTGTAACTTTGGGTGCTTTCTTGGAGCAAGCTTTTCTCCCTGACAACAAGATTGTGAAAATGCATGGTTTGTGATCCCCCTTTTTTTCAGGCGCTTGGATCCCTGCCCTCTAGGTCCAGTGACTTCTGGGGCTGATGGCACCTACCACAGCTGTGGTACAACATGTTCAACTGAAGTTCTTGTCCCTTCAAGCCTGGTTTCTCTCATTCTTTCAGACATATTGTGATCACCCCTCCACGTTGCTCCAGGTGACACCAGAACTTCCTGCACAAGATCCCCCCCCCAACCTGCAGATAGGGAGACCCTTTGGTCTCTTGAACCTGACAGTTCAGTTAACTGTGGATGCCAGCCCGTCAGGCTGGGGGCTTGTCTACACCATCATGCTGTCCAGAACTGCTGGTCCATGATAAAAGCCGGCCTGCATATCAATGTGCTGGACCTCCTGCCAGTCACCAAGGCCTTTTGGACCTTTGAGCCCCTACTCCGTGGTCGGGTGGTCCTGGTCGAATTAGACAAAACCACTGCATGAACAAGAAGTGTGCCATGTTCTGCTCCCAGGCCAGCATTGGCCGCAACTCCCTAGGGGACGCCTTCCGGATGAATTGGTCAAGGGGCCTCCTCTACATGTTTCCACCTTTCCCCTTTCTTCAAAGGACTGTTGTTTAAATCCTACATGAGAATGCAAACGTTATGCTTGTTCACTTTGCCAGCCATGGCTCTCGATCCTGCTCTCGAGGGCCGTGGAATACATTAGGCTGCAGCTGGTGCCTCATCTACTGTCTCGTGACAAGGGTCAGATATTTCATCTGAACCTCGAGTCCCTCCACCTGACGGCTTGGCGAGTTTTCTGACTGTAACAGACGTGCTCAGTCATACTCGCAAACCTTCTACCACCTTGACCTACTACTATAAGTGGAAGGTGTTCTGTCATTTTTGATCATGACTAAATTTGCCTACTAGGCCAACATCTCTGGACACACTCCAGAGCAGAGCCTCCTTTCTGCAATTTAATCCAGACAAGGTCGCCCAAAGACCAGACCTTACCTTCCTGCCTGAGGTATTTCTACCTTCCATTTGAACCAGCCACTTGTCCATCTTCACTGCTTGAGACAGTTCTGCACACTTTAGACGTGAAGTGTGCTCTGTCATATTATGTGCACCACATGGCCGCTTTTCATGCCTCACAACATCTCTTTTTCACCTTTGCTGGCCCCTCCTTGGAAGCACCGGCTTCCTCTTGGGCCATCTCTAAATGGATAGTCCAGACCATCCGTCTTGCCTATGACTTGGCAGAGACTGTACTAGAGCTGTAGCATCCTCAACAGCCTTTCTTCGTGGAGTGGACATCGCGGATATCTGCCAGGCTGCCACATGGGCCACTCCGTCTACCTTCATCTTGCACTACCACCTGGATGTACGAGCAAAGGCTGAGGTTGCGGTAGGTCAAGCTGTCCTGGCTTCTGCGCTTCTGCACTTTTGTGACGTCCTTCCTCCTGGGCAGTCAGCTTGCCAGTCACCCATTAGTGTGTATTCACAGAGACCACGAAGGAGAAAAAGAAGTGACTTACCTGTAACTCTGGTTCTTCGAGTGGTCATATGTGAATTCACACTCCCCACCCTCCTCCCTGCTGTCCGTCACATGTGCCATAGCATGCTGGGCAGCAGCAGTCAGTTCCTTGGAACTGAGGCACTACATGCCGGGGCTGGAGTTATAGCCAGTATGGGGTTGGTCCCGGCATCAAGTGCTTAAAGCTATAGAAGCTTCCGAGGCTGCTCTGCTGAGGCGCAGATTAACCAATTAGTGTAAATCCACAGATGACCACTCGAAGAACCATAGTTACAGGTAAGTAACTTCTTTTTCTTAAACAAGGTGATGATTGTTAATATATATAGTGTCCCAAGCAGTTTGTAAGTGTGTCTGTCATAACTGGCAGTTTGAACAGTCGAGATGAACAATGATACGCAAAGGGGATGCTAATGTGCTTTTGGTAGTATTCTGAACATTTTATGGCCTCCGTATGCTTGCCAAGACAAAGAAACCCTCACCTAGAACCCATAATAATAATGTAGACCTCTCTTTAAAAAAAGTGATGTGAGGATGTTGTATGAATTCCTGATAATAAAATAAAATCATCTTGCCTTTACTGATGTTGAACTGGGTTGAAAATATCCTTTTATTTCTTGTGGTGTCTAGTTTGAAATTCAGTTCCTGATATCTAAAAGTAGCAATTGATAAATTTAATAAACTGTTTTCCCTTGTCTAGAGCATAGCTAAATTGAATAGAAAATATTTATTCTAGTATAGTTTCCAGGCATGAAGTTTCTGTTTGCTTTCTCTACTGTAAAGATACTTACCTTAAGGTAATGTCATATATTGAAAGCCACTCTTGTTCTATGAGTGAAACCAGGGTTCTCCATACCAAAATCATGATTCATCTTTAATTATTTTAACCAATCTATCGCTCTTAATGAATGTCACATGCTGAGTAGCCTTCAGTGAAAAATATATATATGAGTAACACTGGATGAAAGCTTTTGTTTCGTGTAGTAGTATCATTTTCTCCCATGTCTGACTGTTTTCTGACCTATAGGAAGAACCGAAGAAAGTCCGCTTTGATTATGATCTATTCCTGCATCTAGAAGGTCACCCACCTGTAAACCATCTTCGCTGTGAAAAGCTTACTTTCAATAACCCAACGGAAGAATTCAGAAAAAAGCTGCTGAAAGCAGGAGGGGTACGTTTTATCAGTATAATTTTAAAAATTGAGACATATGAAGTCATGTCACATGCTGCTGCTCTACTTTCTATACACTAAATCCAATTGGCAGGCTTAGCTGGAGTTACTGAACCAGTTACTGAATGATGAATTAGTTCCTACATAAATCCAGGCACAGGAAATATTGATTTGTTCCCACTATCATATCATCACCATATAATCACATTTTTCAGAGGATAATGGAAATATTTTTTTCATTGGTTATATAATGTTTGTAAGTGTGCTAAACATGATAATGCATACTGTTGAACAGTAATAATAAGTAATGATGTACTTGTTCTACAGATGTACTAGCTGTAGTCAAGCTGCAAATGCAGTCCAACTTTAAATCTGCCATCTGGAACCTGAGATTTATTTTGTGAGTTAAAGTAGAATCAATATAGAACCAATTCCAATATTTAATATTAGAGATAGGTATATTCATATCCCTGTCCCAGCTGCAATTAATGTGGCTTCGATCCCCAGAACCAGCCTGTCCACTCACACATCTTTAGGTATATTCATATCCCTGTCCCAGCTGCAATTAATGTGGCTTCGATCCCCAGAACCAGCCTGTCCACTCACACATCTTAGCATCACAGCATGTCCACAGAAACAGCTTGGCCATGTTCCATACTTTGGTAATATCC